CCAGGTGCAGTGGCTCACGCCTATAATTCCAGCACTTTGGTAGGCCAAGGTGAGAGGAGTGCCTGAGCCCAGGGGTTCAAGGCCAACCTGGGCTACTTGGTGAGAGCTCATCTCTACAATAAATCAAGAAAAATTAGCCAGGCATGATGGTGCATGCCCTAGTTCCAGCTACTTGGAAGGCTGAGACAGAAGGAGCACCTGAGCTTAGCAGGTTGAGGCTGTGGTGGCTATGAGCGTGCCCCTGCACTCCAGCCTGGGTGACAGAGTGAGACTCGAACTCAAATAAATAAAAAATAAAATAAAGAGTGTTAGGGGCTGGGCGTGGTAGCTCCCGCCTGTAATCCCGGCACTTGGGGAGGCCAAGGCAGGAGAATTGCTTGTGTCCAGGAGTTTGGGACCAGCCTGGGAAACATAGCATGACCTCGTTTCTACAAAAAATAAAACAAAAAATAAAACAAAAAATAAAACAAACTCCTCTCACCTTGGCCTACCAAAGTGCTGGAATTATAGGCGTGAGCCACTGCACCTGGCCCCCCTAACAATCTTTAAAGGAAGATAACAAAATCCAAATGCTTAGTATCATAATATTTACAATGTCCAACATCCAGTTAAAAATTACTAGATTTAGGCCCGGCGGGTGGCTCACGCCTATAATCCCAGCACTTTGGGAGGCCGAGGTGAGAGAATTGCCTGAACCCACAGATTCGAGATCAGCCTGGCATATGCCTGTAGTCCTAGCTACTCGAGAGGCTGAGGCAGAAGAATCACCTGAGTTCAGGAGGTGGAGGCTGTGGTGAGCTATGATTGTGCCTCTGCATTCCAGCCTGGGTGACAGAATGAGACTCCAATTCAAAAAAATAAGTAAATAAAAGTGTTAGGCTTTGTTTTGACTAAGTAAATTACTTGCAAATCAGTTTGATATTTTTGAGGTGAATTTTTAATCTACTAGGGTGGGTCTAGGTAAACCTTTTCTCTGGGGATAGTTGAGCCCTACGAAGGCACTGCCTTTCTGGGGTCTCACTGAACATGTTGGGTGGTCAAAAAAAAACTCCACTCTAGCAGGGTGTCTACCCTGCCCTGGGTGAGCTTTGAGAATCGATCAGTTTATTGCTCCTTTTTGCCTGGTCTTGTTGAGTTTCACTATACACATGTGAAGCTTTATATTCAGCAAAGGCTCAGGGGGACCTCAATTTTCTCAAAGGCTCAGGGGGACCTCAAGATTTCTGGAGTGACTGTTCAGCATAATTCACTCCTTTCCAGAACTCTGATCTGTAACTCTGAATTACTTCAGCCTCCCTGAACTCCTGTCTCTGTCTTCTCAACTTAGGGAGACCACCATGCTCTGCTGGGGATTCCCCTCCCTGAATTATAGTCTGGAATGTTCCTCCGGCAGAAATCCAGGGAAGTCATAGGGCTCATTTTGTTCCCTTTACCTCAGAGATCATAGTTCTGAATTTCCAGTTGCCTAATGTCTGATTATTTCATATATTTTGAAGCAATAGTTTTTTCATTGTTTATGGCAGGAGAGTAATTTCCATTATCTTTGCCTGGTTGGAGTAGAAACCTTTTACTGGCATTTTAATCAAGTTTTGAGAAGCAGAGGAGGGAATTATATCCATGTGGTCAGTTCACTGTATTTAGCTAGAAGTCCTAGACTACTGAAATTTATTTAAATATTTATGTTTAACAAGCATATGCTTTCAAAGCCAGGTGCAGTGGCCTGAAATTGCAGCTACTTGAGAGGGAGACAGGAGGATTGCTTGAGCCCAGGAATTCAAGACTAGCCTGGGCAACATAGTGAGACCTCCCTATCTCAAAAAAAGAAAATCAAACTTTTATCACATAAAAAAATCTCATAGAATGTAATCACACTATTCACAAAATAATAACAGGATTTATACAAAACATCAATGCATAGTGTCCCACAGGCACAGCATGTGACTGTGAAGTTGTACCATAAACATGTTCTTTCATTCCTGTCAATGTATTACTGCAACTGTTTGCAAAACCTCACTCAGTGGTAACATCCATGAGCTAAGTTGGTGGCCCTTTCTGAAGGTGGTCTAGGACCCCTAGGATAGGTCTGGCCTCAGGCGCCCTCCTTAGCCGACAGTCTCTGTGTGCCACCCTTCAGCTTAGGTGTACAGTTCACAGGCAGCCCACTGGGCCTCGGAGAGAGGAACCCAGCCAGGGGACTCAGGGGGACAGGAAGGGAGGAAGGCCCTCCCTCTCCCAGAGTTACTATCTGCCCTGTCTTCTGAGCCCCTTTCCACTCACCTGACCCCAGCTCATCGTGCCTATGTTTCCATTACCTTGTGAGCTGGGGTTGCTGCCTGTTCCGGGGCTGCTGGGTTCAGGTGGGCTGCCTCAGAAAGTGACCAGGGCTACATCTCCAATTCCTTCTCAGGTGGACATCGAGCAACTGGATCCCCGTGGTCGGACTCCTCTGCACCTGGCCACCACACTGGGGCACCTTGAGTGTGCCCGTGTGCTCCTGGCGCACGGTGCAGACGTGGGCAGGGAGAATCGCAGCGGCTGGACAGGTGGGCACCCCGCTCATCCTGACCCCACAGCCAGGGTCTCCCCAGCCTGATAGACTCACCTCTGTGTGGCTGAAGGGTCCTGCCCTGTGACACTGCCTCCCCTCCCCCAGTGCTTCAGGAGGCTGTGAGTACCCGGGACCTGGAGCTGGTGCAGCTAGTGCTGCGGTATCGGGACTACCAGCGAGTGGTGAAGCGGCTGGCGGGCATCCCCGTGCTCCTGGAGAAGCTGCGCAAGGTGAGGCCCGGCCTCTCAGCCTCCCCACCGGACCTCTTGAGCCTGTCTCGAGCGCAGGCTTAGACCCTCGCCTCTTCGTCCTCCAGGCCCAGGACTTCTACGTGGAGATGAAATGGGAGTTCACTAGCTGGGGTAAGCGGGCGCTGCAGGGCCCTTGGGCACCCTTCCACCCACGACTCAGCACTCACTGTTCTGTCCCCTGCCCAGAGCACTCTTCCCATAGCTTTTCACCTGGCTCTTCCTCATCTTTTAGTTCTCAGCTTGGTGCTACCTCCTCAGCTAGGCCTTCCCAGATTGCCTTAGACACCATCTCGATTCCCTAATTATTTATTTTTTACTCTATCATGATTTGCTTATGTTTATTCATTACCTGTCACCCCTTGCTAGAAGGTAAGCTCGAGAGGGCAGGAGTCCTGTCTTGTTCATGTTGTATTCCCAGTGTCTGGAACAGAACCTGGTATGCAGTAGGTGTTTAATAAATATTTGCTGAAAGAATAGATAAAAGATTGAGTGGATGAATGAACAAATGGGTGGATGCTAGGGACTTAGTGGCGACAGGATCTTGCCAGCCCTGACCTCAGGTTGCTCACATCAGCGTGAGTGGGGTCTACACTGGTGGGGACGTGTCTGGAGGAGGGGCTGCTCTCTCACCAGTTCCCTTACCCTTTCCTGGCCACACTGACCCCCAAGTTCCATGCCCTGAGCTGGCCCAGGATGGATAAACCGGACAAATCAAAGCCACCTCTGACCTCCATTTCCACTCAGTGCCCCTGGTATCCAAGATCTGCCCTAGTGACACCTACAAAGTGTGGAAGAGTGGGCAGAACCTGAGGGTAGACACCACACTCCTGGGCTTTGACCACATGACCTGGCAGCGAGGGAACCGCAGCTTCGTCTTCAGGGGCCAAGGTCAGGCAGGCAGGAGGTGGGGCAGGGTGGGGACGACGGGTGACAGCCCAGTGCCAACCCTGATGCCCCTGTGCTGTTCCGTGGCTGGCAGACACAAGCGCTGTGGTCATGGAGATTGACCATGACCGCCGGGTGGTGTACACAGAGACTCTGGCACTGGCCGGGCAGGACCGTGAGCTGTTGCTGGCTGCCGCCCAGCCCACCGAGGAGCAGGTGCTGAGCCGGCTCACCGCGCCTGTTGTCACCACGCAGCTTGACACCAAGAATATCTCCTTTGAGAGGTGGGTGGGCATAGCCTGGTCAGCCTGGAGCCAGCCCGGTAGGGTGCGTGCCTTACCTGGACCACTCTGCTTCCCCAGGAATAAAACTGGCATCCTGGGCTGGCGCAGTGAGAAGACTGAGATGGTGAATGGATATGAAGCTAAGGTGAGGCCACAACTCCAGGGTGCCAGACCCAGCCTCACTCTTGCCCACAGCAAGCTGGGCGGGGGTTTCCAACTACCCTTCCCCAGCCCTGGTGGTGCAGAAGCAATGCAGCCCGGAAGAAAGGGCATTAGACTAACAATCAGTAATAAGGATGGCCTTTATTGAGCTTTAGTTCTGGGTCAAGGCACTGCTCTGACGTTTTATATTTGGATGCATAGATGTACATACACACAGAGTTGTTTAGGCCTTGCAACACCTCTTTCAGGCAGGGACTATTCTACTATGCCCATTTTACACATTTGTTGAGTCCTTTCTTGGCAAGTAGGGATTATCAGTCCATTTTATGATGAGGAAACGGAGGCTTGGAGTGGTTCGGTGACCTACATAAGGTCACACAGCTGTAAGGGGCAGAGCTGGGGGTCAGACTCTGACTTCCTGACTCCAAAGCCAGGCCTTTACCCCTAAGAAGACTGTCTGTCACTCTGGGACCCCCATGTTGCCCAGCACATGGTGCTGGTGATGAAAGGAACTAATAGACACCATAAGGGACTATCTATGGTATCTCCTACTGCAAGTCCTCCCTGGTTTTATAGGCTGGGTTAAGGCCTCTGTGCTACCCCACCAGTGCACATATCACATAGAGTTTTAACTGTCCATTTTCTTGTTTCTCCATCTAGATTGTAAGCTTCAGGAGGGCAGGGAGCATATCTGCTTGCTTACCACTGTATCCCTGATGCCCACCTCAATGCATGGCACATAAAGCCTCCTCAAAACATGTTTGTTGAGCAAACAAGTGAATGAATGAATGACTTCCTATATTTACTTGCTCCAAAGGCCTGGAGGCTGGAGCAAAGGGCTCTTCCAGGACCTTTCTTGCAAGGAGCATTCTGAATGCCCTTGAGGGCAGGACATGGGGGTACCAGAGCTGCCTCTGAGCCCTTATCTGTGCCTAGGTATATGGGGCATCCAACGTGGAGCTTATCACCCGGACACGGACAGAGCATCTTTCAGAACAGCACAAGGGCAAGGTCAAAGGTAAGAAGGCAGAGGTGGATAGGGAGATGTTTGCGGGACTGCAGAAATCAGCTCCCACTTCTGTGCCCCCATCACGATTCCCTAGTAAGAGCCAGGATGGTTTATTCAGGCAAACAGATTTCAATTCAAGTTCCAAGCCCTAATGATTGGCAGTGGCTGCCTAGAGTACTGAGAAGAGTCTAAGGATTTATCTGGGCTCAGTGGAAAGGCATGCTACGATTGATTATTAATGTCTGCACTGGATTTGGGAGGGGAAAGAAATGTCATGTATGCCATTTATTTGCCATTCTAGTCTAGTGGGACATAACCTAGGTAAAAGTCGGGGACCCTCCCACAGATTGTGTGCCCATTGATATCTCACCTGATTCTCTGGGCACCAGTTGTCCCCTCTGAAGTAGAAAGACATAAATCCTATCTCAGAGGAAAACAAAATGAAGTCATTAGTATGGAAGTGCCTGAAACCACACATACACACATACACACACACACACACACACACACACACACACACACACACACACACACACGCATTCCTCCGAACTGCTCACCAAAGGCAGATACTTTACTGTCCACTACCATCAACCTGGAGAGTAGCCCTTTTGAAATTTCTCTTGAGCCCTAGGCCTACTTTCATTCGTATTGTTTAAGTTGTGTCTGCAATGGTCCTGGCTCCTGTCCTTTGGAGCCCTCAATCGCCTTCTGATGAAAGTGCCTGGGTATGTGGTGTGGGTGCAGTCCCCCCACCCCAGGAACCAGCCTCCTCCCTGGATCTTGGGTGCTTTCACTTCTGTGAGGTGTCCAAGTATTGCAGCTGCAGTGTCCTCTGAGATGCCACATTTCTTGTAGGCTGTAAGACACCTCTGCAGTCCTTCCTGGGAATTGCTGAGCAGCATGGGGGTCCCCAAAATGGGGTGAGTGTGTGCCAGGGGTACCCCTGAGTGGAGGGGTATGGATGTGGCTTAGGAGGAGGCTGGGGGATGTCCTGCTTAGCATGGTCTATGTGACCCTCTTTCCACAATGCCCAAGGCCATGTCAGCTCCACACCGATGGGGGGACAGCTTGGGGGCCCTGGGGTACCAGATGGCTGGCTTGGCATCAGGGACTGAAAAGGGCTTGTGGGACCCTCCTTATGTACAGACCCTGATCACTCAGACTCTGAGCCAAGCCAACCCCACTGCCATCACTGCAGAAGAATACTTCAACCCCAACTTTGAGCTTGGCAACCGAGATATGGGTCGTCCTATGGAGCTAACCACCAAGACACAGAAGTGAGGCCCCCTGCTGATGCTGGGGAGGGGTGGGGAGGGCTGAGGCTCCAGGAGATGCTGGGAGGATGTCGTGGCTTCCTGCAATGTCCCTCACCCCTTGGGATCTGGTGGGGGCAGGTTCAAGGCCAAGCTGTGGCTGTGTGAGGAGCATCCCCTGTCCCTGTGTGAGCAGGTGGCCCCCATCATTGACCTCATGGCCGTCAGCAATGCGCTTTTTGCCAAGCTCCGGGACTTCATCACCCTGCGCCTGCCTCCTGGCTTTCCTGTCAAGATTGGTGAGACCACTATTTCCTCTCAGTCCCTGGTGGGCGGGCTGGGGTTTAGATGAGGTAAGGGGAGCGGGCTGAGGTTGAGGTGTGAGCAGGTGGGTGGTGGGCCTGATGGTTTCCTCATCCTCAGAAATTCCGATCTTCCACATCCTCAACGCCCGCATCACCTTCGGGAACCTCAACGGCTGCGACGAGCCTGTGCCATCGGTGCGAGGCAGCCCCAGCAGCGAAACCCCTTCCCCAGGCAGCGACTCCTCCAGCGTCAGCAGCTCCAGTTCCACGAGTGAGACCCTCAGCTCCCGCCCGGCCCTCGCCTTCCCTCCCCAACCGAACGCTTGCCCTTCCTCCTTCCCAGGGTGGGCTGGAGGGGTGGGCGCAGCCACGCCTGACCCCAGCCCGGCGCCCACAGCCTCATGTCGTGGCTGTGAGATCTCCCCAGCGTTGTTCGAGGCCCCGCGCGGCTACAGCGTGCTGGGCGGCCAGCGGGAGGCGACAACCCGCGACGACGACGACGACCTGCTGCAGTTCGCCATCCAGCAGAGCCTGCTCGAGGCAGGCAGTGAGTATGACCAGGTGCGTCCCTGAGGCCGCGCGGGGCCACGGACTGCGGCGCCTCGATAGCTAACTG